TTGATTTTTCAAAATTACTGATGTGGAGTAAGCAGGGTCTCCCATCCGCGGTTCCCTTGGTAGCACCTTCACCCTTCTCTCCTAAACCCCCTCTCTGCACCGGCCCAGCTCCCCAGGGAGGTGCCTTAGTCTTCCTTCAACCAATGAGAAATGGAAGCTCAGAGAGTAGGTAGAAACTGAGGCTCCCCCAAGTGTGGAGAGACATAGAACATGTTTCCTGCATTTTTTACTACAAATTCAGGTGTGCCTCGACATTCCTCCTTCCAAAGAGGATGGGGCATTTTTCTGGAGGGCTCTGGGTTCTCTAAGCACATGGTGCCTCAGGTCTTCTGAATCCCTCAAAGACCACCTGGATCATCTTAAGACGCCCAGCAGTGTGGGCAGCTGAACCTGGAAAAGTCTCTAGTCAAGACAGAAGCTCTTCCCTCTGAGGCATTTGCATTCAGCTCCAGCCTGGCTGGCAACTGCTGAGCAACAGAGTTCTGTCAAGACCACCATTGAGGGCAGGTACTTCGATTGACAACGCCTTCAGGCAAGTAAATCTTTCCCCAGACTCCATTTCCTTATCCGTCAAGAGACAGAAAGTTGTAAAAGAAGGCTCCCGGCATCTCTAAATTGATACGTCAAAGAAGTAGGAGGGGTTCTAGGTGTGTAAGCATAGCATCTGGGAAGCTGAGGCGGGAGGATTATTACGAGTTGGAGAATAGCCTGGGCTATAGAGTGGGTCTCTACGTCAAAATAGACAGATAGACAGACAGAAAAAGTCCAAGAACTTGTGGCAGAAAGTAGCAGAAGAAATCTCCGCAGTTCTACTGACCTTCTAGATTTCAGCTAGGGAGAAATCCGTCCCCAGTCCCCAGGTAAGCAGTTAGGTCACATGTTTCTTATGCAAACCCTGGAACCGGGCTACCTGGGGTTCATATCAGCTGTGCTAGCTCCCACTGTGTAACTGTAGACCGCTTGATTCCGTCTCAGGGCTTTGATGGTCTTGTTGCTGATACAGATTAATAGCAGTATTGGCATCATGATCGCAAATGAGTCGATACACGTGGTTAGCTGTTAATGTAATCTCCCTTCCCAGTCCTCTTGGTTTCTACCACAAAATATCACTATTTCTGTCCTAGTACTGCTGCTAGGATTTCAGTCTTCCCTGGGATGGGAAAGCTCATTAGTTCTCCGCCTTAGTTTGAATCTTGTTTGCTGTGGTTCATACTGGGCTTGGAACCCAGGACCTCATATGTGCCACGTTATGGTAGAGGTAAGTTTCTCTACCGTTTAGCTATTTTCCCAGTGTCCTTCACTTAATGTCTGTCAGAGAAGGGGTCCCTTCAGTCTTTCTCTCCTGCCTAACCACCACAGGCAGAGAAGGCTGTGTGTCCTCAGCTTACAAAGATGAGTAAAGGAGGGAGAATCCCAGCTAACCCATCTCACCATGGAGGATCCTGCTCAGAGGCAGGCAGGTCTATAGCTCACATAGCTAGTGTTCTCTCTGCTGTTGCGCTCTCTCTCTCTCTCTCTCTCTCTCTCTCTCTCTCTCTCTCTCTCTCTCTCTCTCTCTCTCTCACACACACACACACACACACACACACACACCAGCTCCCAAAGCGCAAGGGTCTTTCTGTTTTGTTCTCTGCTTCATACCATGTCTTAAACACTGGCTGGCATAGAATAAAATCTAGAAAAAAAATAAATGCCAACTTTTGAAAAGGTGACAGAGATAGCCAGTGCAGTGACAGACTTTGTTTTGGTAGCAGGATCTAGTCTTATTTTCTATCCAGAGGTGATGGTTAACCAATCTTTTGACTAAGAAAGAAAAGAACATGTTTCAGATCTACCCCCCTGAGAGATTTCAGTCTTGGTCTGTAAGTCTCTCAATTATTCACAGGACTTTCTTTCAATTCCCACCCCTCCCAACCTGCTTAGAGGGCTGAGCTTTCTAGGTGTCTGTATTTAGGACCCTGGGGATCAGTGGGTCTTCCTTGGTTGTGGGTAGTGTCATTTCCCAGACCCAGATCCAGTCTTCCCAATGTTTTCTTCAAGCACTTACAGTCCAACCAGGAGGGTCAAATTCTTCTTGTGGGAGGACAATGACATTACCAGCTATTAAAGGTGATTGCTATTCATGACACTGTCTGCTGCTCATAGGTTCATTTATAATGTCTCAGGTACCCAGTCAAACAGCATCACTCTCACTGCAAGTCCATGAGACTCATCAGCAAGCCCATTTTACAGATGAAGAAATAGAGGTTTGCTGAAGTGACAGGTTTGTAAAAAAGAGGGAGCCAAAGGAGGCTTCAGAGAGTGGCTTTTGGAACAAGTCAGAATCTTGGCAGCATTGACAGCCACAAGTCTAACCCTCCTGCACCTCTTCTTAGTTGTGAGGCAAATGGCAACATCTTCATTCCTCACTTCCCTCCTCTTCAAAGGGGGCTAAGAAGAAGATCTGTGTCCTTTCTGGCACAGACAGACACATACAGACAGTAACACCACCGTCCCCGCCTCTGCAGAGCAGGATTTACGCCACTCTTTGCAAACTGTGCTGCCCAGTGCACCCTTATTTACCCACTTATGAACTGGGGGGTGAGAGGGAGAGGAGGTCCATCTAAGATGCCACAGTCCTCCAGAACCAGGTAGATGAGATCTCTAGGCCAAAGTTCCCCCTGAGGATGAGAAAGAATCTAGAACTGCTCTGTAGATTTTTTTCCAAACCAAGAAAAGTCACTTGAGGTACTAGAGAGATAATGCAATGATTAAAAGTTCTGGCTGCTTTTTCAAAAGATCTGGGTTTGATTCCCACGCCCACATGGCTGTTCACTTCCATCTCTAAGTCTGTAACTCCACCCCAGGGGACCCGATGCCCTCTTCTGGCTTTCCAGGGCACCAGACACAGATGAGCTTGCAGGCAAAACCACCATATTCATTGAATAATTAAATAAATAAAGCCATTTTGGTTTCTTTTCTTTTTAAGGAATGTAAGTTTCTTCCCAGACTCCTCTCTCATGAGCATGTTGGTGACAAGCTGGGCATAGTCACACACTCCTTTAATACCAACACTTGGGAAGCAGAGGCAGATAGATGTCTGTGAGTTTGAGGTTAGCCTGATCTACAAAGTGATTTCCAGGACAGCCAAGGCTACATAGAGAGACCCTGTTTTTTCCTTTTTTTAAAAGTCTAATTATATAAAAACCAACGCACCGAGTGTTGGTGACAGACCTCGTGGAGCTGAACGATTCTAGGCAAGTTGGTTCCACTTTCAGTCACCTTCTCCAGGACACACTAAGACTTTGTCAGCGGCTCCCAAGCACCTGGCTCTCCCAAGCTGCCCCATACTTGGGCAGATGGAGTGAAGAGGAGGATGGCATTAAAGGTTCCCTTCGGCTACTTCTTCACAAAATATTTGTAAAGCTTTCTCGTTCTTTTTGCTAGAACACCTGGAAGGGCGTTTTCATCCTTTCTTTCCATGGTCCCTGCTTGCGAACGAGACCCCCAAAGTTATGGAAGAGAAGTATGAAGTAATATTAAAAGCAAAGCAAATGCGAACCTCGAAGCTTTTTAAAATTCATGCTGTATCTTTTTTTTAATGCATCTATCCATAAACTGTTTCACTCACTGAAAAATATTGACAGTACAGCCGAAGATGTCAAGAGACAGAGAGAAGAGGTGACCGAAGTCTGTGAGCAAGTATCCCGGACAAGGAGCTCGTCAAAGTTTGCCCAGGCAGTGTCCCATAAATGAGGGATCGGGGAGAAGACCCCCAAACGGAGGAAAGGATCGCAGGGGAGCAGCAAAGCCGGTGCACTTCTGGCTTCCCACTTGCAAATTACTGGGAACTTAGAAACCAGCTATCATGGATGTTGGAACGCTATGTAAAGCAGTGCCACATAAACGATGCCCAATCCAGAAGACGGGAGTGGAAGGCAGCTCTGACGCAGCCTTCTGTGCTCTTTCAGTTTAGAAGAGGGTGGGGTGGAAAAGGTACCACCTAACTCTGAAGAGTTCAGGAATCAGGAGGTTTCAGAGGCAGAATAAAGATCACAGCACTGACACTTGGTTTCAGCCCACCTCAGGCCACACCAGCAACCGCCATTTGGCACAAAACTTTCAGTTCGGTGCTGAGGAGAGGGGTAGAAGGTAGTGGAGTGAAACCTGCTGGTTCCTCTGTCAGCTAAGCCTCTAGCACGCCTCAGACCTCCTTCCGCAGGGGACTCGAGCCTGAGGAGTTATCCTCTAGTTCCCGCACCCTCCCACCCTCCTTTCCTGCTAAAATCTGAGGTGCACTGAAGCCAGAGAGAGAGAGAGAGAGAGAGAGAGAGAGAGAGAGAGAGAGAGAGAGAGAGAGGAGGGGGGAGGGAGGGACGGAGGGAGGGAGAGAGGGAGAGAGAGGGAGAGGGAGAGAGAGAAGGAGAGAGAAGGAGAGAGAGAGAGAGAGAGAGGGAGGGAGAGAAGGAGAGAGAAGGAGAGAGAAGGAGAGAGAGAGAGGGAGGGAGAGAAGGAGAGAGAGGAGAGAGAGAGAGAGAGAGAAGGAGGGAGGGAGGGAGAGAGGGAGAGAGAGGAGAGAGAGAGAGGGAGGGAGAGAGAGAAGGAGAGAGAGAGAGAGAGAGAGAGAGAGAGAGAGAGAGAGAGAGAGAGAGAGAGAGAGAGAGAGAGAGAGAGAGAGAGAGAGAGAGAGAGAGAGAGAGAGAGAGAGAGAGAGAGAGAGAGAGAGAGAGAGAGAGAGAGAGAGAGAGAGAGAGAGAGATGCAGGAGTGGAGGTGAACCAGCCACCCTTGGGAAAGAGGCCACCACCAATCAATGTTCTCCCCAAACCTTCGCAAGGCGCCTGTGACCCCAGTACCCACCCCCCTGAAGCCTGGCACCCTCTGAAGTCGCGAGAGGCAGCGCGCCCCCCTGAGGCCCACCCTGGTGGTTTTGCAGGGCGCGGTGATCACGCTGCTTGTCTAGGTGGCCCCGGCGTGGGGCGGGGTACAGGGGGTGCAGACGAACCCGCCAAGGGTCCTTACCTCCGCACCGGCATCCGTCCGACCAAGCGCAGTTTGCTGCTGGGACTGCGGGGCCGGGGAGGCTCCCACGGGCTCGGACTGCGCACCCCCCGACCCCCGCCGCGCCCGAGCCGGCAGAACCTTCGGTGGCCCTGAGCAGGGTCGCCCGGACCCCAGCACAGCCACGGCGCGGGCGGGAGGAGGCGGCTGCTGCGGGGCACCGCGGGGCGGGGCGGGGGTATCCGTCGGGCCCCGCCCGGGAGGGGGACGTGGGAGCGCTTATCTGGGAGAACAAAGGCAGCTGGGGACGGCTCCCCCACCCCTCCCTCCTGGGGCCTGCCCCTGAACTTGAACTTGTACTTGACACTTTGTCCGGAAGGTGGCGAGGAAGCTTGTCTGAGCCGGGACGGGACTCGCCCGCCACCTCCGGCCCGGGAGGCCCGGAGAGCCTGCACTCGGCTGTGACCCTAGGGAGCCCGACTTCCAGGGCCCCGTCTCGCCCCAGACTCCCCGGCGCTCCAGGGCCCCGGGGCTCCGGGGACCCCAGAGACCGAGCGTGCCGAGGCCTTGGGTGTGCGTCCCCGAGCCTCAGGCGGAGCCCCGCGCCCCGCCGCGCCCCTCCTCCCGGGCCCGCCGCCGAGCCGCGCGGGGCAGGCAGGATTCTCTGCACGTCGCGTCGGCAGGCACTATTCAGCCGCTAATTGAACGTTAATGGCAGGTGCGGATGAGGTCACCGGAGCTGGCTTTTCTCACACATTTTTCATGCAAATTCGCGAAACTCTAAACAAATTTGAATAAAAAGCTCTTTGTGCCGCCCGCCGCCCTAGTCCTTTCCTCCCACCCCAGGATCTTGGCTCCTCCCGGTGCCCTGGGGCTCCAGCCTGCAGCACTGGCCGCAGGATCCGGGCGCCCCGGGGAGTGACGCCTGGTAGTCGGTGGTTCTGGCTCTAACTACTCCGTAGTTCCAGCTGCTGTGAGCCGGCGAAAGAGTTTTCCATTTGGCATCTTGGGGCCAAATCAGGCTGACCAAGCACCAGGCTTTTAGGGAAGCCGCGGGTGAGCGCCTGGCATCTGGACAGACAGGCATTCCGCTGCTGACGTCTCTCGTCTCAGCAGCGCTCACCCTCACACCGGCCACCGTCAACAGCTTCTTGGTCCTTCCCCTCTCCGTAGCTTAGACGCGAGTACGGACGCGTGGTGCCCAGCTATGCGCACCAACGTCGAAGGATTAAATGTAATTTGGGACTACGCAAGCACTTAGAGCTATGCTGGGAGCAAGAAAGTGTTAATTATTGTCTGGGGTACAAGGGCCTGTGAGAATGGAAACTGATGACAGCTTGACTGTGATTTTTGCGCATACATGAAAAAACTTGTCAAAGGTTTTCAGAGCCTCGTGACCCCCTGCTTCCCATTCTGGTCCTAGAGATGCGGAGCTCAGAGCCACTGTTTCCTAACTGTGTGGCTCTGACTGTTGCTAAGCCTCTCTGAGCCTCAGTTTCCTAATGTGGAAAATGGGATCATGGTGAGAACTGAGAAGACATTACTGGAGACTTAGGAGCAGACTGAGACCTGGTTCCCAATTCAGAACCCCCAGCACTACTCTTAGGAGTCAAGACAAACTCTACAGCCTGAAAACAAGATAGGCTTCTGGCTGCCCTCCTGACCCTAGCCCAGGTAAGAGAGACTGATAGTCTCAGGCTTTCTAGAGCTTCTCACTCCGGCCTTCGGGTCACATCCCAATACACCGTGAGCTGTCTTTGCTAGTGGCTGAATCTTGCTTTCCTCACTCTTATCTGCTCAGAAAAAAACATTACTAGAGACATTTTTTTTCAAGCTTGTATTTGTTGTAAGCTGGGATAAAAGAGGCAGAGGGTTCCCAGGGTTGGAAGAGTCTTTCAGAATTTCTCTTACTTCTCCCTCAAGGTTGTCCTGAAAAACAAAACAAACAACAACAACAAAAAGAAAACAATGTCTTTGGGGGAGTTCCAACGGCTCATGAACCTGAGCGTCATCTCTGCTCTCCCACAGGTCTGTTCCTCAGCCCCCCACAGGTCAACCTTTGAGCAGCAATGGGGTGGGCCCATTAGGCTTTCAGGTCAAGGACCAGAGGGAAGGATCGAGTCTACAGGGTACAGATGACCAGCCCCCAGGAGACCGATGGTGTAGACCTCAACAGTAATCCTAACTGAAGGTTCCCAGTCTATGTGTGGCTCTTAATTCTTTCTCCAGCTCTAACGCCCAGGCTCCAAGGCTTGGCATATCCCAGATGTGAGATTAGACAGAATTAGGGAGGACCCCAGGAGAGATATTGTGGGAACCTTGGAGGGGGAGGTTAATGTTTCTTCACATGGGACTGGCCAGGAGGGGTTCCGGCTTAGGAGACCCCTTTTAAGTGACCCAGCCAAATAGGATGTATTTGGGGTTAGGAGTCCAGACTGCAATCCCTGAGACGGATGTTAAATCTGATTCGGGCACTTTTCAGCTGTGACTTGGGACATTAACATTTCTGAACTTGAGTGTCACCTGTAAAATGAGTGGACTAGTGGTTCCCACAGAAAACTGGGGCTCACTGCACCAAAGAGGGAGACCTGGCACCTGACAACCCCTCCCCCAGCTGCCATCTAAGTCCAGGGACCCCCGTGGCTTTCCCAGGTACCTCTCTGGCCAACTCTACTGTAAATCTTTCCTTTCTGGCTCCCAGGTCTCAGGGCCCAACACAGAGCTCCGTGGGATGTTGTACCTAGACCTGTGTTGGATTCCAAGCGTCCAGGCTCAGCTCCACATTGCCTTTTCCAGACACCCTCTAGCAAGCAATTTACTCCTTTGGGGGTAAAGGCAGGCATTTGATTAGCACTGGGAGCAGCAGGGTCAGGTGGTGTATCTGGGGACACGTGCTGTGTATGCAGATAGAGCCTTTCAGAGTCAGGCCACTCCTGAAGCCAGGATGTCCCCAGCAGGGCGCTACCATTGGGCTAAAGCAGGTAGAGGTGTCTACTCTAATCAAGACAGCCCACAAGGCCCCCTCCTCAAAAACAGCTCCTCCCAGAGGGAAATCAGAATCCATGCTTGACTTACCCACTCTGGGATATTGACTCTGCCCCTCACTTGCCAAGCAGCTCGGAGAAACCAAAACCCCTGGTTTCCTTGCTCTGTCTCCTGCGTGTGAGACTGAAGTATGACACTCACCTAAGCAGTAACCAGAGAGCCGAGTCTGAAATGAAGTGTGCTTTTGGTTAACAGTAGCAGCCGTGATGATGACATGCAATTATTAGGCTGCAGAAAGGCCATTGGCCAGAGGCCACCAGAACTGTTAGACACTTTTCCCTGCCACATCACCACCTTGTCTTGGAGTGCCTACCCTTCATTGACTGAGAGAAGTTAAGCCTATTAAGTGACTACTACCCTTTCTTTTTTCAATAAAAGCACTTCACAAACACAGAGAAAAAACAAACACAAACATACAGGAAGAAATCCCTCCCATTTCCCAGAGGTTGTTGTCCAGTGATGTTCAGGAACCATCCATACACAGGCATAGACATGCTGATGTGTATACAAATAAGAACGCCCTTGATTGTTCTGTTATTTATTTTATTCACTTACATTTATTAGTCAGCCTTTCCTATTAGCCTGCGTGTAGAGATCTGCCACACGTTTACAGTTGTGTTGTATTCCATAGTGTTAAATTACTCATTAGCGGAACCACAGTTCTTTGTCAATGCTTCCTAGTAAATGTATCTGGAGTAAATTCCTAGTCATGGAATTAGTAAGCAAGGATATGTGCCTTTTACATTTTGACATAGCGACATTTCAGAAAATACTGTACAGCTTCTACTTTCCAACAAACCGCACAAAAAAGACCCAGCCAGTGGGACAGAGGCACCGAGGGGTCCACTGAGAACAGCATGCCACTGGCCTGTTTGTAGGGCAGCACCTAGTGGTCTGCTTCTGTCCAGGCCTCTGCAGGCTGGGGGCCCAAGGGTGTCCTGAGCACAGCAGAGTTGGATCCATAGGAGCCCTGGGCGTGGAGGGCAGGGGAATGTGACTGGTGTCCCGCCTGGATGGTTTCTTGGAGCCATTGTCTCTGTCCCGCCTGGTCTCCTTAACAGGAGTTGATTCAGGGTCTGTGTGGAGGGGGCTGTGCAGGAGGGGGTGTGCAGTCCTCACCACGGGCACCCAGGAATGTGTCACAGGAGGGAGAGAAAGAGGAAGGGGGACCCATGCCTGGGAGAGACAGGACGTCAAGAACCCCTGACTAATGAATAGCGAGTGTGCCCTTGAACCTCACTGGGCTTCACCGTTCTCAGGCACAGAACAAGAGCCGAGACACATCTGAGCCCAGCTGCACAGGGATGGCGTGGTTCATCTCAGACACTTTGACAGGCTGAGCCTTTCCCCTGCATAGCTCCGATCTGCCTCCCAGCTCCCCTGGCAACAGCACAGCAGCATGGCTCCTGGTTCCAGGCCCTGCCTGCTGTGAGCAGGAGGAGGGAGGCGAAGGAGCACCAAGGGGAGGACAGCTGGGGAGAAGCGCCTTTAACTCCTGGGGGGCTGGCCTCGCTTCCTCTGGCAGCACTTCCCAAGGTGCTGCCTAGCTGTTCGGGGCAAAAATGCCAATGGTGATGTTTCCATTTCCCAAGTGCCTGTCAGACCCACAAAGGTCCCAAAATGTGTGGCATGGGCAGGCCTGGAGGAGATGCTAGACCAGCAGGTCAGTGACAAAGGCTGTCTAGAAGGGCTGGGGAGCATATTCCCTGGTCTCCTGCTGAGTCCCTGGTGGCAGGGTTGCAGCAGCCTCAGGGTGGTGGTGCAGCATTTTCTTTTCCTGCTCTGCTCTTCTGTTTCTGAAGCGGCTTGGCTCTGTAGCAGTCCCGTGACCCTGGCAGGAGTTACCACTTCTGTGTCTTGGTTCATGGAAGCTGAACAGAGCCTGTCCCATCACTTCCCTTCACAGGACAATCTAAAGACAAGAGAAATAGTTTGTGAGCAGCTGGCACTCAGGGAGGCAGGTGTCCTGTGAACCCCTTCAGATATTATGAGGGCTGGGAAGGAGAAATGGGGAGGAGAGAGGCTCTTCCAAGTCTGTCTCAGGACCTCCCCAGCAGGGAAATTCTGAAGCCAGAATAGGACTTATTTATAACCATGACCTTCAGGGCCTCTGAATGCAGCTGGAATTAAGAGATAAAAGAGATTGAACTCGTTCCAAAGTACTTTTCTATGTTATTAATATGTCTTGTGTGCATTTATGTGACAGGTATGGTAACTATCATTGTTGTTATATTCTGAGTCAAGGATACATCCCAAAGCCCTGAGAGCATGCTTTGGAAGCTCTACCCCGGAAGCACCTCCCCACCCCTTTCTCGTTTTAGAAACATGGAATCAGTGCTCAGAGAAGTTATGTGCTGGCCCAGGGTCGCCCTGGTCATACAAGAGTGTTGGCTTCACACCTCTACCCTTCACAATCACACTTGTTTCAGCTGTGCCTGTAGAGGAGTCACTGGCTGAGGAAGTCAGGGATAGAAACCCAACATCAAGAAAAAGTGGGGCCTTCGTGGAGTCTAAGGGGCTCTGGCCCAGAGAAGGTCCCAAATATATGACAACCTTCCTGAAATCACGGGGCACTGTTCAGAGCACGTGGAACCAGAGGAGAAGGCAAAATATCCAGACTCAGGCCAAAACACACTGTCTGGCCCAGGCCTTTGCTCTAGGACAAACCTCTCCAACGCTGAAGGGAAGCAATGAGACAAGCTTCTAGGGTTTTGTTTGTTTCTTTCTTTCTTTGTAGGCTTTAAGTGTCTCAGGGCAACTAGAAGGAGAAAAGGCTGAGTTTCCTGAAAGTTAGGGAGCAGAAGGTAGGGTGACTTGCAGGTAACAAAGCAGGAAAAAAAAAACCAAAACCCAAGAATTCCCAAATTAAAAACTGTAACAGCTAAGTGACTGCAGTGCAGACACTGTCACCAGCAGTGTCCCTCCCCGGGTCTGCAGAGGAAAGAGGCTTGTTAGTGCACTAAGCAGGATGGCAGGCTGCAGGGCCAAGGACCCTCTGACTTCCGGGTGAGTGGGGCTGGTCTTCTTGTGACCTCGTTTCTTTACTAGGCCATTTGAACCCTGAAAGGGAAAGATGTCAGCAAGGAAAACCCAGTAGAAGCTACGACTGTCCAGGTGCACATGTCCAGGGCGGGGGATAGTCTCCAAAGTTCTGGAGCTGAAGACTTACGCTGCCTTGAGGCCAGCTTTCTTCAGGAACATAACATGGCTGCATCCCACCTCCAGCATCGCCCTCTCACTAACAGCCCCCTGAGAAGGCAGAGGCATGACGAGGTGAGTCAGAATGAGGACAGCCCGACTCCTTGGACCACAGTGCTTCTGAAAAGGACAGTGAGAGACCCAGGCAGAGCTCATATCCCCACAGAGAGAGGCTGGGCAGGTTCTCACCATCGCCAGCCTAGAGCTCAGATCAGATGGGGTGTGCCCCATGGGAGGCCCACCCGACCTGGTGAGAGAGCAAAGGAGAGCCTGGGATCATGCATCCTGCCATCTTGTCAGGGATTGCCCTGAGGGAGGTTTGTGTGCTGGCTGATGAATAGACACCTATGTGATAGAACAGAGACAAAAAGACAAATGGATTGACTTGGGCCCAGCTGTGCCCTCTGCAATACTGGTAACTAGGCCAGTTGGTAGTTAATACTCTGAACATCACCACTGATTCCATCCCACCAAACACAGCCATATTAAGGGACCTTGGAAAGTTCAACTCCTTCCTATCTGTCACATAGTTACGGGGAAAGGCATGTATGCCTGCACCAGTCACAGCAACTCCACAGGCAGGAGTTATTCCAGCATTATAGATGAGGCTTTAGAGGTCCCGGGACATTCAGGGATCTAAGTGCCCATGGATCCAGGACTGAGTGTTTGTCCTTAGCATCTCTTCCTCTGTCCCTTCTCTCCAGCCAGGGTTTTGCCTGCCTCCTGATGGCCACAAGGCAGAACTACCTGGACCTTCAATTTCTGAACTCTCTGGCTTTCCACAGAGCCACTCAAACTAATATGGAAGGCATCCCGTCTAACACAACCACTCTACTGTAGGACAGGTCTGGCCGTCTCTGATAGCATTTCCTGGCTGACCAGGAGAATGGCTACCTGTAACATACAGACACCACTTCTAATTGGGATTGGCAGCTGGAAGACAGGAGCTGGAATACAGGGCATCTATGGAAAAATAAAGGCCTAGTCACATAGAAAGACCTAGAAAGCACCAATCTCAAGAAGTTTCCTTCTCAGGAACAAAGAACACAGTGATGCCTTGCATCAGGCAGAGCCTGTGTCCTGGCTTTCACTGGGTACCACCCATCCTGGGTCCAGCCTGGCCAAGTGTGCTGCCTCTGGAGGAGGAGCTGCGCTTGGAATGTGATTCTCCAGCTTTGCCATGACACTTGGTGATGCTCCATTAGCAGAGTGTGACTCCTAAGATCCCCTGTCACCTCCTAAAGCCTCTGCCAGCCCGCCCTCCCAGCACCGCACTGATCACCAGATTAAGAAGCTCAGAGATACAGCTGAGGCAGCAGCTGAGGCAGCTAAGGGAGGGATGGGGCAGGGAGGGCAGTAGGCAACTCCCCCAAGGCCCTGCCATCTTCTCTTTCCCACCTCTACTGCAGGCACCTGGCTCACTCTGTCTGGCTTCTATACCCTTCTTTACTAAGCTTTGGCTGCTGCACCAGATTCCAGCTCGAGTGAGAACAGCTCAGGAGGCAGGGAGAGGTATTGAGATGGAGGGAGGTGAGAAGCAGGAAACTGGTTAGGGCCATGCAATAAGAAGAGAAAAGCCCAGGCTCACCTGTTGTCGGCAAGACACAGAGGCCTATCAGAGTTCCTGTGGGTCTCTGACCAGATGCCCACTTTAGAGTAGGGCACCTCCCACCATGTCTGAGGACAGAGGGCTGGCAAAGAAGGAACAAGAGAGGGAACCAACCAGGCACCAGAATATTTCCCAAAGACCTTGGGATTTCTAGACCCAAAGACACCCCGACTTATTTAAGACACACAGTAGCTGGGAGTGGTGACACACATACACCTTTAATCCCAGTACTCAGGAGACAGAGGCAGGCAGACCTCTGTGAATTCAAGGCCAGTCTGGAGTACATAGGGAATTCCAGGACATCTAGGACTACATAGAGATCCTATCTACAATTCAGACACAGACACACAGAGAGACAGAGAAGCAGAAAGAGAGAGAGAGAGATCCTTTCTGTCTATAAAGAATGGCATACGCTTGGTTCATCTGTGGTTAAAAACAATCAGAAAGGAACAGGGAGTTAGGACTGACTAGTCCTAGGCTTGAATGTTCAGTAACCCAAATGCTATGTCACACGAGGGCAAGACTAGTGGGCACAAGGGGCGGGAAGAGACCAGCAAAGAGCTGGAAGTCAGACGCTCGCACATGAATGAGAGGAACAAGACTGCACGCCTGCCCCTCACTTTCTGTGGGAGTTACTAGGAGGCCTGGCTAAGCTTAACCTGGAGGTGCCCAGCCTTTCTCAGCCTTGTGCCCTCTCCCAGGGACTGCATGCAGGGGGTGAACATGGGACAATTTGGGGGCCCAGACAGCAGTTGCTCTCCGTCCAGCTTCTCCTACGCTGGGCTGGGGTGGCTTCCATCACTGCTGCAGACAGGCCAGAGGAAGACTCAGGCTTGGGAGGGAGCTCTGTGAGGGTCTGGGGAAACATGTCCTCCATCAAACTGCCCCCACTTGAGCGTATGCAGTGATTGAATCCCTCCTTCCATACCCCACCCACCCCATCAGAATTCACCAGTGTCATTCTTGTCACTGTACTAAAGGAACCCAAGCTGAGATCATCACCGTCAGCAAAGAGCTCCTCAGCTAGGAGGAGACCAGGAGCTCCGGCAGCTCAGCTTCATCATTTTGCTACTGAGATTAAGAGTCAGAGGGACTTGTACTGTCCAAGGCCACACAGTAAGCCAGTGGCGAGGCCATGACTGTACCCTGTCTACCACCCTACTACAAGAGCCTAAAAGGGAGCTTCTCCATCATATCCCAAACAAGATCCTGACCTGCTATGGACGGCAGGGGTCTGGGGACAGAGGAGGCCGTAATGCGATAAGCCGACTGGCCATCTGGCTCTGGGACAGAAGAGAGCCCAGACTGGTCGCTTCTGCTGCCTGGTCCCAAGGGGCCCTGTGTCGCAAGAGACAGACTGACAGATGGACAGGCAGTAGCCTAGGTCTGGGTGGAAGCCAATGAGTTCCCTGTAGTCAGAGCTGACCAACTTTCAGCAGTAGGGGAAGGAGTGGAGGGGGCACAGAGCAAGGCCAGGCTCCCCATAAGGCAAAGGGCAGCAGACAGGGAAGAGCTGGGATTCCCCATCCAGAGCCTGAGCCTAGCTCCCCAGGTAAGCCCAGCCCAGCCCTGGCAAGCTCAACTCCTGGGCCTCCAGTCCACTGGCCAGCCACAAACAGGGCCCCCTCCTGGGGGAGGAGGAAGGCAAACACATCTCCCCTGGCACCTTCTCAGACATGCATGCAAAACTAATTAACATGGGGAGACATGCGAGCAGCCGGCCAGCTCCACACCCTTGAGTCCATGCAGACAAGGCGAGCCCTTGTCCGGGAGACCTGCACAAAGCTTTGTTGCTAATTTAGGCATCTGTCTCTGTCTGGTCTGGTCCTCCTGCCTGCACTGGGGTTTTTCCCAGCCCCTTGGACAATGCTGGGAACAGGACCGCAGATCCCTTATTCAAATCACACCCGGGACAATGAGCTCATTGTGCAGGCCACAGAAAGGGGGATGCTAGGGGGTGGGAGTGTGTAAGGGGCATCGGGGAGTGGAGAAGGGTGGGGGTGTGTGTGAAGAAAATAGGAAGCCAGTAAAGTGTTTACTAACATAGCCCCTGCAGCTGCCTTGGGCCCCTTGCCCCTCCCTTGCTTGGCTGGGAGTTGGGAGTCTTGGGACTGAGAGTTGGGAGCCCCAGACTGGATGAAGGGCCTTGTGTCCATGAGCCTAGCAGATAGACACAAACTGTGACTCAAACCTTCATCTTGGTGACTTCTTCCTTCAATAATCTACAGCTAACTCTGAATGTGCAAGGGACGAGTATAACTTTTAGCAGAATGGTTTGGGGGTTCTTTTCTTTCTTACCTCAGGGCTAGCAAAGGGGGAAAGGAGGCGCTGGCTGCTGTGCAGGGTGGGACGTCAGGCTTTCTCAGCCATTGTCTTCAGGCTGCGTTTCATTTTCTCCTCCTTCCCATCTAATAAATTAGAACGGAGATGGTAAACTGCAAAGGGACAGGCTCCCTATAGACATGGAGGGCAGGATGGCAACTCTGTGAGCTCTTGGCAGATGGGGCTCCCCCAGCCAGGCCACTGCTCGGGCCATACCTGGCCAGACACTTGAGTGTACCCCCACACAATGAACAACATGAGAAAAACCCTGTGTCTGTGTGTGTCCAAGTACATACAACCAGCATTCTGACGTCCCTGAGGGAGAGAGCTGAGGCTTCGAAATGTCTTCCTTTTACCAACACCGCCCCCAGCTCCCTGTGGCACTGAGCGCGCCTAGACAGGCTGACATAAATAGACACACAGCCTGACACTGACACGAAGACACAAAAAAGAAACACACGCACACCCAGAGGTGACCACAGACACACTGGCAATGGTGTAACGGATCCTGGACGGCAAGTGCATTCATCAGAAGCTCCCGCCACTGGGGTGGCCAAAAGGTTATGGTGTGTCTGCAAGGCAGCGAGTGCTTCAGCACCCCCTCTCCACTGCACCCGGTCTCCTAGGATGGAGAAGAAAAATACAACTTCCCCGTCCAGATGGAAGCAAGGGCTCTGAGTCAGGCCAGCCTACAACAGTCCAGTCCTCAGTCAGGGATGGCTCTGCTATCTCAGAGGCTCTCCTTCTGTGTTAATGATGAAAGAAAGGACAGCCAAAGCCATTTTGTGTTTCCTTTTCTTCTTCTGCTTGCTTTCTGAGGCAGGAGCTCATGTAGCCCTGGCTGACCTTGAACTTCTTATCTTCCTGCCTCCATCTCCTGAGTACTAGGGTTAAAGGCATGAACCACCATATCTGGGCTTTAAAAGCCACCTTGATTGCCCTGTATCTCAAGACAATATATCCTGAAGTTGGAGCAAAGTGGAGTCTGGTTGGGATAGTTTTCCTTTCAGCACATCTCAGGCTCCAGTTGCTTGCTGTTAAAATAATTTTGACGGGTGTCATGGGATGAAGAGAAACATAAATGGTTAACATGCACTGTCTCATGATGGAAAACTATTAGCTTGAACCAAATGAACAGTCAACAGTTGACTGTTGTTGATTTAACAATAAAGAAATTATATATGGGTCAACCTGGAAAGCAACTGGCCCCACAAAAGGGAACATTCCATATGTTTATTTATTTAATTGCACTGTATTATATTTTGAGACAGGGCCTTATTAGTTGCTCAAACTGACCTTAAATTTCTGGGCACAAGCATTCTTCCTGCCTCAGCCTCCGGAGTAGCCAGGAGTGGAAGTATACATCCTCACATCTGGCTTCCCTATTTCAGTGTCTTCCTCAAAATAAGGCTGCTTTTGTCCCAGTGAAGGAAAAATAGTAACAACGACAGTGAACTGAGAGTGAATTCTACCTGGACCGTCCACCCACAGTCCACACAAAGAAGGAACAGCTTCTAGAAGAGCTATAAATGTGTATGTGGACCATGGCCTGTGTTGGAAGGGAACCTACCTTTTTAGTAGATCACCAAGCTGTCCTTTCTCTTCTGATCCTGGAGGATGTCCTGGAAGAGACAGGGCCCCTGAGAGGGACAGCAGAACAGGAAAAGAGACAACTGTACACCTCCTTCTTCACCAAGGAAGTCTGTGCCACTCTGCTCCAGAGGAAGCCTCGTGACTGAGAGTGTGTGCTGTCAGCTGGCTCCCACATTTAAACCCTTGGCAAGTCTCTGTGGATGTGACATTTATTCAGTAAACTTCCTCCAGGAAATCTAAGCAAAGGAAGCCAGAAGGGAGCCAAGGCCACCCAGTGCAGGGAAGACCCACTTGCTGCGAGACCCTGAACACCCCTTGTTCTGTTGTTCAGCATACATAACTAAAAGTACATGCTATCTTCCCGGGAGAGCATCCTCACAGACCCTGGCTTTCCTACATAAAAGTCAGAAGTTTTAGAAAGAGTCCAGCAGCTACTCACCCGTCCACAGAAGAGCCTATTTCAAGTACACTCACCTTGCCCACCAGCAACAGCTGGACAGCATGTAAGGAAGTAGAGGACAGGATAGATAATCCTCCTAGTCTTCTGATGGCCAAAGTTTTAGAAAGGACTTCCATGCAGCCAGAATATCTAAGAGCTTTGTCTTACACACACACACACACACACACACACACACACACACACACACACACACCAGTAACAAACCTTCCAGAGTAGTAGTAATGAGAAGAAAACCATTTGTCTTTCCTGGTCTTGGAAGGCAAGGGACAGAAAAAGCCCATAGTCGGAGCTAGAGGGTTGAGGCTAGGGAAGGATGCATTTGCAGGGCTGTGTGGGGAGGTGGTGGCCAGATGCTCACTACTGTCAGTTTACATGCAGGCCTAACTACCAAGAGCTGCACTGGGGGATCCAGGTAGAATTCTGAACCTGGCATTCCAGACAAGCTTCCAGTGTCTAGGGAGAAGAAAGCATCTATCCATGAATTCCTCCAGGTATGGTTTATTATTTAATTGCACTTAAGATGTTTCCTACTGCCGGGCGTTGGTGGCGCAAGCCTTTAATCCCAGCACTCGGGAGGTAGAGGCAGGCGGATCTCTGTGAGTTCGAGGCCAGCCTGGTCTACAGAGCGAGTTCCAGGACAGTCTCCAAAACAATACAGAGAAACCCTGTCTCGAAAAACAAAAACAAAAACAAACAAACAAAAAAAGATGTTTCCTACTATGCTCACACATAAATCTTAATGAGTTACTGATATTCTGATTCTTAAGATCAAAATTGTTTTAAATGGAGAAAGGGAAACTGTAGAACCGGTGGGATCTAGAGAATTGAAGTCTGGCTGAAGCTAAATCACAGCTGATGGTCACGATGGGCAAAGAAGGAAATGGCCTCTGACTTTGTTCTTGCAGGTTCCTGAGGAGTGGAGGGGGCTAAGGGAGGCCAGAAGCCACAGAATGATGATAACTGTCATATCCCATGCCTGCTAACTCAGCACTCCCTCCCCTCAGCCCTGCTGTGGATGGATACATAAACTTCCATATTAGAAGAGCTACAGGAATGGGTAGGGGATTGTGGTTTCCTCCTCTATGTCCCCAAGGCCCTACTTGACACATAATGTGCAGTCAATAAATGTTGAATGAATGAATAAGTGATTGTGGTAGGAAAATAATGTGGCATGGAAGATGTCCAATTTCTGAGCTCCACAATTTCCTTGCAAACTTGGAAACGGCTCCATGAGCTACTAGAGTCCAAGCCAAGTGCTACAAGGTGACAGGCACAGAGTGGGCATGCCTGCTCAGCTCCAGCTGGCCTAGGCGGCACAGGGCCTGACAGCCTCCATCCCACCCATCTCGTATCCATGATGGCCAGGCCAGTTCTTTTAGCTGGCTCCCTGCCTGTTATTCTCGGCTTCCACCATCTGACCCGATGCTCCATACCAAACCTCATGCCCTGTCCAGCAGGACACACCCAACTTCTCTGAACCTTTAGCCAGAGAGTACTCTCCTCTGGCATGGATGCCCTGTCCTGCCCTCTTGGTGGCCTAAAAGACATGTTTGGGCACAGGAAGCCTTCTCTGGTACTTCTATCTCCAGACAAATCCCTCTTAACTTCCTGGGCCAAAGTTAGATCATATACCCCTGTACATGTGCCTGCTAAGGCTTTTCAAGCTATTCTCTCTGATCCAGAGGTCAGGGAGCAGGTCAGGGTTCTCCCTACTCTATGGAGCTTACAGACCATCAGGAAACACAATGACTCAGTGCAATGTAACTGACAAAGAGCTAAGCTTGGTCCCTTGCTTGCTGTCTTCCATGGATTTTATTCATGACAAATGTGTGACCCAACATCAAGATAGGATGTATAATAAAATTATTTTTCTCTATATATTTCTATTTCTCTCTCTTCCCCCCTCCTCTCCTCTTTCCTCTCCTTTCCTTTCTTTCCTTCTTTCTCAGACCCAGGGATTGAACTTGGGCCCTGGTATTTCTTGAATTTGCAGGTGGAAACAGTAGCTCGCAAAGACCAAAGGTAGCATGCTCATGGTTACTGCATTAAATCAGAAAGGCCCCAGAACCTGGATGCTGTTGAGCCTTGTGACTTCTGCCTCACTGCTGCTCTGACAATGTAAGAGAGAATCTGTGGCAGCTAAGATGGGACACAGGAGGGTGAGATGGCTTAGGGAAGCTGCCAAGCCTAACGACCTGCATTTGACCACCAGACCCACACTGCAGAGAGAAGTAGTTCTTTATGTTGTCCTCTGATCTCTGTCTCTCCTCTCCACCCCCCCATACACAAACACTATACAAATAAACATGCAGAAATGTTAGTATGTATTTAAATGCAATGGCATGCAAGAAGTTGCAGACTTATAAGGATGGGTATACCGAGACACCCTCCCCCTTCTCTTTACCCTCCCAAGGCACTTGATAAGGAAATGACACTGTCAGAGGTGATGGCTGCTCTCCTAACCAGCAGGTTTCCATGATACCAAACTGGCAGACAGAAGGGAGCCATGACATTCTTTGCTTAAGGAAACAAGATTGAGGGCTGGAGAGATGGCTCAGCAGTTAGTGCTTCTGGCTCTACCAGAGGACCAAATCTGGATTTGCACACTCTTGTTAGGCAGCTTACAACATCTGTAATTGCATTTCCAGGGGACCTGAAGCCCTCTTCTGGGCTCTGCAGGTATCTGCATACACATGACATACATACACATACCACATCTTTCTCTCTCTGTCTCTGTCTCTCTGTCTCTGTCTCTGTCTCTCTCTCTCTCACACACACACACACACCTTAGAAAACAAGGTTGGACAGAGGACACAGACAGAGGATATATCCTTCCTCCATATGACTGTGTACCACTTCTAGGAGCAGAAAGCAAAACCCACATTCACCCTGAGCAGCCAGTCTCTTGCAGTTGCGGGAGCTGGTGCAGTTGGATCACCCTGATTTGATTTTTATTTATTTATTTATTTATTTATTTATTTATTTATTTATCTATCTACCTACCTATCTATCCATCCATCTATCTATTTATTTGAGATAGAGTTTCTCTATGTAGCCCTGGCTGTTCTGCAACCACCCTGATTTTTTTTTTTTTTTTTTTTTTTTTTTTGGTTTTTCGAGACAGGGTTTCTCTGTGGCTTTGGAGGCTGTCCTGGAACTAACTCTTGTAGACCAGGCTGGCCTCGAACTCACAGAGATCTGCCTGCCTCTGCCTCCCAACCACCCTGATTTTTATAAACTGATACAGCAAGGCTTTGGCTGACAGACAATATCAAGACAAGCCAGGGCCTGATGAGATGTTCCCATCTTTCTAATTCTTTACTTGGGTTCCTGGAGACCTGGCTCTGAGCTCTCCCATCTGGATTACTCAGCTGTTCCTGAAGCAGGAGATGCAGCAGAGACATCTTCTAACAGCCCAAACAACCCCATGCTGCTTTCCGAGACCCAGCTGATCCCTTGGGAGACAAGGACCCTATGACAACTGAGTCAGTTTCCTAAGAACTACAGTTTCTGAGACATACCTCGTGCCACCCCCGTATGACATTTGACTAAGAAAAGAGGGGTGGACCCTGGATTGTGTTTACTCTTGTGAACCAGGCTTCAAAGACCCAGTGTGCAAAGATCAGCACAGAACCTGGCACAGTGCAAATGCCCAGTAAACGCTCTGCACCACCATCACAAGACTAGTTAGGAATCTCCGATCCCTGGCTCTCAAGCTCCAGTGAGAAGCCACTTTTCAGACACTCCCAGAGTACGGAGACTGGAAGTCCCCTAACCCAGACCAGGGTTTCCCCAGCAAGAAACTGAAACTTCTGGAAGGGGCCAGGGCTGGGGGCAAAGCTGGCCCATAGCTGGGGTCTTCCAAGGTGAGAAGGCTGAGCAGTCCTCTACCCTTTGACAGCAGGATGAGCCCAGCACCTCTCTGGGGGTAGAGGGGTCTCTCTAGAGACCAGAGGCCTGGCAGGGAGCCAAAGCAGAAGCCGCTCCAAGAAAATGCTGGCTTTGAGCCAAGGAGCATCCCAGAAGCTCCAGCTTGCTAGAGGCTGAGGGGAGGAGGGGCAGAGAGGAGATGGGCAGCCCCAGCCATGTTCCAACCAAAGGAACCTAGCCAAAAGGGAGTTTGGTGTGAACCTGGGACACACAGCTGTCTTCCCTTGTTTAGTGGTTTATGCATCTTGGAGATTATGGAGTTACCAGTGGGGTGTGTGGGTCCCACTTTTGGAACAATGATCCTGTCAGCTCCAGGTCTGCCCACACAAACCCACTAGGGCACTGTTGACCTAAAGGTTTGTTTTTATCTAAAGATTCTTTCAGAGTGAACCCTAAATGCTGAAAGATTCAGGTCACAATTTCCCCTCCAAGGACTGAGGGGTAATCCCCATCTAACGGGCTCTTCTAGGCTGTCCTAAATGCCTCCTCAGGCCTGAGACTCGCTACCTGGTTATTCCACTGCATTCTGTGATATTCTGGCTGAGATTAGGTCAGTTCAAGTGTCAGGTCTGTAAGAGGGCTCCACCCTCTGGTTTAGACAGGTCATTTCCAGCAGAAATGTAAGGGGGAGTTCCCTATGCAATCTCAAATGTTCTAGAAGCCTCATTCCAAAGACAGAAGAAACAGGTCATTTTAATTATATTATTTTATTTAGTCTCATATTATTTAAATGTGCCATAATGCCCACATTTATGAGAGCAACCATTCATGTCTATTGGGTATCACACTGGGCAGAACAATACAGCTCTTGACTCCAGCAGCAGGTCCCCATTTTCAGATGAGGATATGGCCAACATATCTATGGGGAGGGCACCAAGGTAGAAAGCAAAGCCCCATACTCCATCTTTACAGCTGGGCCTACCAGACTTTTCCTTTCAGCTTCCAGATGCATAACCATGGACTATTAGGTAAAGGACTATATGATCAATCAGGCAACTGCAGCACAAACCTATTTGAAACAGACAACTCAGAAAGGACTGGAAATGGATACCTTTGATGTTATAAGGCTGGAGAACAAAGACAGCAGAACGGAGCTGGAGGGAGGCTCTGGGAGACCTCTGTGTCAGGCCCAAGTCTGCTGAGGTCCTGTTTGTGCCACCCTGCTCAGGGCCACCTGGCTCCCATGGCGTGTCAATGCCCACGCTCCAGCACAGGGCCTGGTGAATTCTCCACCACGTCTCCCTGGAAGAACTGCCCACAAAAGCTCCTCTCTGCTTTAGAAGGCGAGAACAAGTCGTGCATTTACCCACTGCCTCTAGTCTTCTTACTCCGAGTCGCCATGCCAACACACAGTCATAATTACCAAGGAACGCGTCAATAGTGGCAGCATTGACAAAGACACTATATCAGGGCTTGTGAGCTAAGCAAGGTCAGGCTCTTCACAGCTCCCCAGCTTCCTGCCCACTTCCTTTATTCCACTCGGATCCATCTCTTTCCTTCATTCTTTCTCTTCCACCCAGATGGTCCGATTTTATTTTCTCTGTAGAGAAAGGAACTACAGCTCAGTGTATAAAACATTTTTATAGCAATTAGGAGACAGGTTCTCCTTTGAGTTCTGATTTTAACTTGTGGGAAAAAGTCACTTTAACATCCAGGCCTCGGGGTCTTTTTTTTTTTTTTTTGCTGTGAATGGGGAGACCGTTTCTGGACACTGCCTATTCAATAAGGGGGTGCCTGCATTTAATTTGCCTTCTAAATTCAGAGGCTGATTAAGTGTCATGTAGTCATCTCTGAAACCGTCTTTATGATCAACAACAGAGGTACCAGAAGCTCAAGGAAACAAAAGAAGGTTCAGATCAGAGTGGGAGTTAGTTCTAATGCCCAGGAACAGCAGGGCTTGTATCTCCCCCAGGAAGAGCGAAAATCTCAGAAAAGGAGCCAGGAACAGCTGAATAGTGGCCTCTATAAGATTATGAAAAGATGAGTGAGACGGATGAGAACTATCAGGCTAAATGACAAGCATCCTGAGGCCCCCAGTGAGAAACAGGACATGCACCCATTTAAAATGAGAGGTCAGAAAAAGAAGGCAGACAGCCATCACTGGAGCCCGGCACAAGAGCGCCCCGATTTCAGAACACCCAGTGCACCAACATCTGAACTTACAAAGGAGATAAATTGGAGGCTGATGATTAGCATCACAAAATGATTATTCCCTTTGTAAAAGGCTTCACTGCAGGACTGCTTTAAATAGTGCATTTAAACCATGATCTGATTTGCTAAATTCGATTTATACACATCTACTGCCTAAGCTGGCGTGCGGCTGTATTTACATGTCTTCCCTTGGCACAGAGGAGAGGAGAAGCTAGCCATTATTTGGGCCCTTTAATCCTCGTAGACAGTAACTAATCTGGGGGGCTGAGCCCCGTTTTCTTCTCCAGCTGGGGCTTTAGCTGCACACTGGCCCCGTTCTGCTGCCTTGCCCATGGGGACTGATGGAAGACAGGTCAGGACTAGGACCAGATCAGCTGGAGCCTTTCTGGAAATAGGGGCTGCCTACCAGGAAGCATAGCCCTGCCCAAATTCAGGAGTGACACTTTTTGGGTACAGATTTCTGGGTTACTGAACTATTTTGTTCCTACAGTCAGCAAGCCAAGGGTTCAAATCTCACCTTTTGGGGACCGGTGACATTTATTAACCCGAGTCACAGCTAGATCAATGCAGTGCGTGTACTTAAGCCACAGGAACCAGACCTGTGATGGCTTTCCATTAAAGAAGACAAAGGGTCTCCTGGCACAATGGCGGGGGGCATATGACAGACTGGGACATACACACACCTAAACGTGTTCGTGGGCTTCGCTGACAAGGCTCCCTGAAAGACAAATGGCCCTGCCTGTGAGGTCCAGTACATGTGACAGTGCAGCTAGGAACCAGGCCACATCCTATAGGGGAGATCACTGTCCAGCTCACACCGTTTGCTGGGATGTGGGTGGTGGTTATATTACTAGGTACAGGAACTCTACACTGAAAGAAAAAGTGCCCCCCAAGTCGGTGCTCCACCCCCACCCCTCAACTCAGCACTAGGTTTAGCTTCAGGTCTCGTTTACTGCTTGTCTACAGATTCCTACAACGCTAGGTCCAGCGTAGCACCCAGACCCTGGGGAAAGGAGGAGACAGGGTAAGAGAATTGATAGTGAGCACGAGTGGCTTGTCAGGCCACAAGCGACTCACCTCCCTGTGGAGAAGCCCACTAAAGCCAGGCTTCTGAGAATGAGGGCTGGACGGGGAGTCAGGATCCCTGGTTCTAGCCCTTGGGTCACTAACTTTGTGGTCTCAAGGAAAATCAAGTTTGGGGGTTCATGTCCCTGCCCACCTGTGACATATGCACTCAGCCTGCACAATCACCAAGCTTTAGAATTTCTTTTCTAGTGCTGGGTATTGAGCCACTAGGCAAGAGTTCTACCACTGAGCTCCACGCCAGCCCATCAATTTCAGACAAACCATAGATGAGACAAATGTTTACCTCTGGCAAGTCCTAACAAGCTTCTCTTTTGAGCAGGTTACAAAGTCATTGTGCTTCGTCTTGGCTGCCAGGAAGCTCCAAGCGACCACAGCAGCCAATCATAAATATTATTTTAGGTCAGGGCTTAAGTATCGACGTTGGGGAGTGACAAGAGAGCCCTCGGATGTGAGGTAGGGTTGAGTAAGAAAGGGACTTGGGTTCAGGAGAGGCCTGATAGTTCTTTTCAATAGAAAAGGAGAACAGACACCATAAATCTTCGTGTTTATGCTATGTGTGTGCACTTGCAGAGACTCAAAATGAGAACCAAGGCCTCGGTCTTAACAGCCCTGGATCCACACTCTACCTTTGGCAAAAGTCACTTAAGGGAGTCATCGCCCTCCCAATCCAAGGAGGCCCAAGTTCACTCGAAGCATTAGACCTGGCACAAGGCAGAATTCAATGGACATAAACTGATAAGCGAATTTTCTCGGGGGGTGACTCTGTACACTAACACACGGGTATGCGGCCTGCTTTAGAGCACCCATGGCTTAAGAAGGCACACTGACTAATGACTGAGGGACAGGGGCACAGGAGGAAGAAACGCCCCTGTGACTCTTGGGCAAAGGTCTGGAGGAGGCTAGCCCCAAGATGCTGTCCCACGGCTCACACCCTGCCACCCTCATCCTCAAACGGACTCCATCCAGCCTGGACAGTGAGAATGGGGCCTCTAGGTCACCCTCAGCCCCAACCACACTTTCACAGGTCTCGGGTTGGGCCTGTGGACTCTCTTCACCTCAGGGTCATTCCAGGGTCTGGGATAATAGAGGGGGGCTCTCACCACCTCCTGCATCACAGTTTCAAGGAAATGTGGCTCTGGCCACACGGGTTAACCCCGCTTGGAAGTAACTCTCCAAGAGCGTGCCGGTCCAAACTACAAAAGCAAACAACAACAAAACCCCACTGTCTATGTCAGCCAGGCCTGCGCCTCAGCTTGGCGGGGAGGAGAGCCCTTCGGCCAGCGCCAGCGAGGGGCCCAGTAGCACCCTACTTTCTCCTGCTGCTTTCTCCTTAGCAGCCCGGAAGGTCACCGCAGCCTTGGGGACGGGGCGGCGGGGGGCGCGGGCGACGGAGGGCGGTCCGGGTGGGGGGTGGAGGCCCGGAGATAACGAGTCCTTGGAGTGGGCCCTCCGCAGGCAGCCTGCAGGACTCGCGGGCCGGGTGCGCTCGCCGAGCTCGCCGCTTCCGTGGGCCGCGCGGGCCGGGGGGCGCGCGGGGGAGCTCGGCCGACCCCGCGGCGCGGCGACCTACCTCGTGCCCACGCAGCCATCTTGCCGCCGCTCGCTCGCTCTCAAAATGGCCTCCCGGGCCCGCGGCGCGGCGGCCGAGGGGACGCGGCCCGTCCCTCGGTTCTCCCCTCAGCACGGGCGTCGGGGGCGCGTGCGCAGGCCGCGCTCCGGGGCTCTTCCTCGCCCGGTTTCGCCGCGGGCGCCCGGCACTTCCGTGGGCCCGGGGAGAGCTTGGGACCCGAGGTGTGAGGCCGGCCATGGAGTCTCTGTCGGGGCCGGGAGGGAGCGAGCGCGCGAGGCCAGGCCCTGGGCACCCCGCAGTGGGGCTGAGCCTGACCCCCGGGCCGCCGAGGTCCCGGCCACCGCCAGCGACTCAGGCTCAGGTCAGAGGCATCTCCAAGGCCACCTCCAGGTCAGACTCAGTCCTCCATCCATCCCTGCGCGCTCAGCCTGCCAGCGCTCCTCCACAGCCACGCGCACAGCGGGACTGCGTTACAAAGCACAAGCTGGCAGGTGTATTGTTAACGCCACGGCACACTGGGGACTGTGTAGGGGGGTGACTTTGTGACTTTGGGTTCTGGCCTAGAGAGGAGGGGGTCGCCTTCCAGGGGACTCAGGCGGAAACGCGGTCAGTCAGGCGCCTTACCAACGTGGTCCTGGAATCTTCCTACGCTCCTGGTAGCCGATCCGTTTTGGAGACATTACTGTCCTCCTTCCTAGGCTACAGCCGCTCACCTCTCCCGCGGCGGTGGCACGCCCTCCTTCGGGCGGAGAGCAGAGCGAATGGGTGCCGGCCGGCGAAAGGGGATGCAGAGGCCAGGTAGGAAGTGCGGGAAGCTGGAGCATCTGCCAGGGAGCAACTGTAACACAAAGAGGAGACGTCGGATGCCTGCTACGCCGACCCTAGAAGTGTGTCCGGTTCATTCGAAGCCTCAGGGTCCTGGCCTACTGGTGAGGACACAGGTGTCCTCCAGGGCAGGACCACAGCCTGGGAGAGACCATCGGTGGGGTTGGGTATCTGCTGTGGAAGGAGCAGGTTCTGTCATGGTACCCATGGTTGTCGCTGCGGAGGTCCCTCAGGAACGGAAGTCCAGGACGCAGAACACCTGGATGTGTGTTCCTTACCTGAACAGAAAGCCCGAGTTCGACTTAACCAAGGCAAACGTGACTTGACTTTCCCCGACCCTAGGAACTCAGTTCCAGGCACAGAGCTAGCACGGGTCTCCTGGAGATGCCATCTTGATCTCCAGCCTTCTTTGCTAGGGTAGCCAGTGAGGGTCTGCTGACTTCAAAGGTCTCGAGACAGATGTTCCCCTAGTCACTTTCTGATCTCGCATACACAGAGTGCTCTTTGAGGTCCTTGAGACTCCGCAGGTCTGGTACTAGCTTGGGGGTGGTAGGCAGCCTGTGGGTCCTTTTCTTATACTTTCCTTTTTGGGTTTGTTTTTCTGTCTTCAGCAGGGAGGAGGTTTTGAACTTCAGACCCAGATGTGTGTGCACCCCTGCCGTTTGAGCTATCATTTGACCACTGCCCACTATGTTCTAGGCATTTTCTTTGTATGTTTCATGTAACTCTCACATGACCCCTTTAGGTCCAGGTCCTTCCTCATTTCACCCAGAGAGGTGAAGGCCACACCTCAAAGGTCCCTTGAGTGGGGGAGGGTAAAGCCCGGAAAAGAATCCTGCCTCCAAGTAGAGCACCCGCATTTCCCAGCCGCCCAGGCTCTCCAAACATTAGAATGTGAGTGTTTTGAACCTGGTGATCCTGAATCTTGAGGTCTAGAACTTCAAATGAGGAATTATCACCTTCGGGGCAGAAAAGGCCAAGTAAGCAAGCCATACCTTCCCCATAAGCAGGGGGTTTCCAAAGCCAGGCTCCACCCTTTAGGATGGGTTCAAAAGCTCCTGGAGAAGCCCTACAATGGCCAACAGCCACAGTGGACAATGGTGTTATTATCAGGGTAACCCATCCAGAATAATATGACATACATTGATAATAAGGGTTTGATTTTTTTCCACACACCCTGAGGGGATACAGGAGCAAACACCACCACCAACAACAACAACAAAAACAACAAAACACTCACAGAAATGCCCCTCTTTTTCTTTCATATTTGGGCAAGAAGCTCTCCCATTCTGAGAGCTATTTTTTCTTTAAATGGCATGACATGTGGGGTTTTTTTTTCCAACAAACTGTTTATGAGGCAAAAATTCTATCAGGTCTGGGGTGAAATAAATATATTAAAAATGTTTTTTAAAATAGTCTTTTCAGATGAAGGGTACGGGACATGGCTCTTAGCCTAGGCTGTGTGAGGCAGCAGAGACTGGGTAGCTGAAGGGTGAGGTGAGGTGAGGTGGGTGGGTGGGTGGGAATGGCCAGAGTAGATAGATGGAGACAAGATGAAGAGGTGTCCAGAAAGGGAGTGACAAGGGACTGTAGCCACCACACTCTCCAGGAGGCAGACAGGAGAAGTCCTTCACAAAGCAATCAACACGGACACTGGCCTACCCTGGAGGGTGGCCATGGTTCCCAAATTTCCATCCAACTTTGTGTTGAGATCCAACTATATATACCTGAACAAGGGGGAAGAGGTCTGAGCACTACCACCCTGTGCGTTTATAAAACACACAAAGACTAGGGGTCTGACCTATGCCAGTGAGAAGCAGTTCTGCTCACAGTACCCCCTAATTCATGGAAGTAACCCAACTAGGCTGCAAGCTGGGGTGGGGGGGGCGGGGCTGACCAGTGAGGGGCTCCAATGCCTGCACAGATGGAAGCTGGAGCGTTCTAATTAGCACAAAGCCTGCACCTTCCATTAATAGCTCAGCACCAGCTCCTGGATGCCGCTGGAGGCAGTCAAGTTGGAATGTGTGAGGCTCACCTGTCCCCAGCTCATTAACAGACCTAGGGTGCGAATAGGGCTCTCCTGTGTAAGGACCAGTCCAAAGCAGCCCCCACCCATCTAATTACAGGTTTGACTTCTGGGTCCATCTGAGGGGAAGAATGCTTGACCCAAGTCCCATATTCTTGGACACATGTTCAACCAGGCCTCCAAGGACAGTGTGCTCCCTCCAGACTTGAAATGAATTCCTTCTTTAAAAGTGCTGACATACATTCCATTTATATGAAACCCTAGATAGGTAAGACTGACAGAGACCTCAAAACTGGGCGGGGGTGCACACAGGCTGGGAAGAAGCAAGAGCCAAGTTTCTGGAAGAGGGGAACTGCTATCTTGGGTAGAAATGCATTTGTCAGAACTAAGAGAACTGAACACCTATAGTCTATTTCCAGATGAAACTCATGCCTCCAGGGATGTGTGTGTGTGTGTGTGTGTGTGTGTGTGTGTGTGTGTGTGTGTGTGTCAGGTCCACCCAAAGGTGTTGGCAGCTTCTGGTTGCTGTGCAGGTTCACACCCCTTTTCAGGGGTCACAGTGGAGAGGGGGGCCAGAGCAGATGGGGAAACAGGGCTGTACACATCTCACAAACACGAGGCCTTGGCTGGCCGAGTGGGGAGGAGGAATGTCTGAATTGAATCAATTAGCTGCAGAAAACTTGAGAAAAGAAGTAAGGCCCTTCATAAAAACAAAGCCCACTCCTTAATCCCCAAAGGCAATCCTCTCCCCCATTCCCATGGCCATTCCTCAGTAAACAAAGAAATCCCCCTTCCACATCCACACCTCAATATTCATTATGAGCTGACGTCTGAGGCTGCATTCCAGCCTCCCAGAGTGCCCTAATGACTGGAAACCCAATGGCAGATGACTGAGGGTTTCCTCTCCCCTCTCTCCACAGCTCAGCCCTTCCCATGGCAGTCTGTTCTTTCTTTCCTCCTTCTCTTTCTTCTTTTCTTCAAATTAGTGAATAAGCAAACCCCTAGCAAGCAAATCAAAGCAAAGACATCACTAACTCTACTTTGTTCATTTATTTTGACAAGTGCAGTTTAATTTTAATTATTTATGATAATACTTCATAGTAGACGAGTAAATGTGCCGGGGTATATTTGGTAACATTAATGAAGTCTGCCTAATAGGGACCTTCACTCCAGCACCCTGCCTGGAGAGCTGCCTGCTGGAGAAGCAGGGCGAGCCCACTGGTCTGTAGTAGGGCTTGCAATTTTTTTTGTGGGGGTGGGGAGAGAAGAACTTAATGGGTTTGAGGATTAGCCGAGGGAAAATTAACCCGATTCTAGAGAAGAGGCAAATAGTAAGCCCATAATCATGTGTCGATGTGGATTGTGTGTATTTAAACACCGAGAACGCACACTTGGTGATAAGAAAACCCCGGCGTGCACACATGCCACATGCATATTTACACATGAATCTCCAATGTGCAAATCAACAGAGGCCCAGAGAAACTAGGCTCTGGGCAATTAAAAATAGAAATAAAAATAGAAAATGGAATACATAGAGTTCTTTATCTCTCCCAAGTACGTTTTTCCTAATTATATGCTTCAAGTAGGCAAACACAGGGCAAAATTTGGAAGATTGAGGCAGGCAGTTTCTGCAGTTCGAGATCACACTGGAATGTTCCATTCAATACACAATAGGAGATAATACGCAGGTCTTTGTGGATGCAATGTCACTTTAAATGGGGCTGGACTAGGGATGTAGCTCTGGGGTAGAGCACTTGCTGAGCAGCCATAGCATTAAAAAACCAGTAAAGTGGGTCTTACAGCACGTTCCCACAACTTAATACAAATGCAGGATCCCACATATCAATAAAATCTATACACACGCACACTTAAGAACGGGTATATTATAAACCATTTGGTGCAAACATTTTGAGATTTACCATCAAAGTTTGTGCAGTCATAATAGATTTAAGGCATTTGGTTTTTGAGACTGCAAAGAAACCTTTGGACCCCCACTTTTGTTTTCAAGTATTAAGGAACTCCTGTTTATTTCTGAAGTGTCTGCTAGTGCTCAGTTTAGAGGCATGTCAAGGGACAAGTGGGTTTCCTTGGGACCAACTGTTGTACAGTCTCAGGACAAAGCCCAAGTTTGGTTTAGCTCTTGGGCAAGAACCATTAACTCCACCATTTCTGGTTTTTTTTTTGTGGTTTCCCCCCCCCCCGAATGATCCCAGCAGGGAAAGTGGGATCTTCTCTCAAGGAGGGCTAGCCAAAGGGAAAAAGATGGGAGACTTTTCTTGACACAGCCCAGGCGTGCAGGGTAACTGTCTCCAGGACCTGCCTGCGGCTAAACACAGGTGATCCTGAGGTCCCTCACAATCCTCTACTCTTCAAACAGAGGCGTGTTTTGGGTGGTACAAGAGGATCAGCCCTAGGCACCTGGCTCCAAGATTTCTCCCCTGGCCCCAATCTCTTCTAACCTCGCCCGGTACTGCTGTGACCTGGTCTGGCGTGGGAAAGGCGGTTTGGAGCTTTTCACAAATCCAGTATCCCCTTGAACCAAAACCAATTAGCCTGGCCCAAGGTCCTGTCATTGAGGCCCTGGCCCTCTTTTCAAACCCCTGCGGCTCAATTGCGGTGAGGGGCTGGCCAGTGAATGCCGGGACCACTTAAAGCGGTGCTTAAGCCGGACCGGGATGGAAGGAAGGAGCCAGCGCTATAGGAGCTGCGGCTGCCCATTCTCAGAGCCACTGACCAAGGTTTTGTTCCAGTCACAGCCCCCGCCCTGGCTCTACTTCTAACGCCCCTCCCTTCTCTCCCCTTTCCAGCTTCTGGAGGAGAAATCAAAAGCTAACTCTAGGAATGCATGAGACACCCGAATTTGGCTACCCAAGACAGAAAGGGCATCACAGGTTTTGGGTCTTACCCGGACAGGCCTTGTACAATAGAGCACCCACTATACATTGTTTTCCTTGGATGCACCTGAGCAAACAACCCATTTCTGGGTGAGAAAACTGACTTGCCTGAAATCACAGGACTTCAGGGCAGTTTGGGAAAAGCTTTTGGGAACTCCAGAAGGCTGCTCTCTAGGAAGAGAGAGAGGGACCTTCGGACCATGTTAAGAAAGGTCATGGAGAGCTCATCCTCAGTAGATGAAAAACCTATTTAAAAAATAAAAAGCAGGGACAAGCCCATATATCTACCAACATGGGGTCCACATTGTGCACATCTACACAGGGTCTCACTGGAGTGAGAGAGGATAAAGTGTCACAGCCTTCCTTCAGTCCCCTACCTCTTGCTTGTCCCTAGTTATGCCCTTCCAGGTGAAATGAAGACTCACCCTCTGTGATGGGTAGCACTACTAGGGGGCTCTGGCTGTCGCCATGGTAACGCATCCCACCCTGGGCCAGAGCTGATTGGTCATTTAAACCAGGGTGGAGGAAGGTAGGATGGGCTCCATCTGGGTGGAAGAGGGGACAGGGACAATCCCACTCCACGCATGTGAGAAGCCAAGGGTGGAAGAGAAGGAGATTAAAATGGCGCCGCAGCCTCCAAAGGCCGCTGCTCTGGGTGTGGACACCCGGGTGGGGGAAAGCCCGGCCGGCCTGGCAGTTTCTCCTGGACCCTGGAGGACGCATCAGTCCCAGCAAGGTTGTTCTGGGGCTCCCGGCCGAGCTCTCCACACCGGGCTCCGCAGCCCGGACTGCACGCTTAGCGGGATCCCGCGGACCCCAGGGCGCAGGGCTGGGCGTTGGGGGCGAGGGCGGGGCGGGCGGCGGCCTTGCCTCTAATCCCGGCGCTGCGTGTGGGAGCGGCGGGATCAGGGAATTAGCGCTGTAACTTCGGATTAGTAACGCTCGCTAAATGAGGGCCTAATTCCGACCCTTCATGCTTTTCAGCGTCGCGCTGGGTCCTGGGAGGCCTCCTGGCCCCGCTGCTTCGTGCTCTGTTCCCATTTCCCCGGAGGTCCGACTGCGGTCGAGAACTCCTGGATCAGTCTAGAGCCGGCCTCTGGCCTCGCAGCAGCCTGCGTTTCGGTGATGTCTGCTGATGCCAGCTTTTCATTGGCTGCGCTGAGGCCCATAAGAGGCTGGTATGGGTCAGGGTTGAAACTCCGTGGACCAGGAAGGAAGAAGAGCCTCATCATCGAGGGCTGCCCGCAACCCTGCCCTGCCAAGTGGCCTCCGTGCGACCTTCTGCCAAAGGTTCCGTGTGTCTAGTTGTAAAATGAAAGGGGTTGACATCTTTGAGAGCCCAACCAATTCTGGCTTCCAACTGTACTTTCAGCCGCATTTTCAGGGCCCACAAGCCTTTTCTTTAAGAAGAGACTAGTTAGTGGAAAGTGGAACCGTGTAGCCCAATCTGGAAAACAAATGTGGAGGGGTGGGTTGGGGCAGCAAAGACTGAGGAGGCCCCAGGCCTTGAAGCTCCGACAGGCCTAAGCTAGCTAGGGAAGCTGATATGGAACATAATTTTGAGCCTGTGTCTTGGGCTCCAAGAGTCCAGGGTGGGATTTGAACATCTCTGTTGGGATGGAATGGATGGGCTGGCCCTCTTGAAAGTCTTTTCTGATGGGTGTGAGATAAACTCTGTGAATTAGAATAGGTATGCCTATTCCATCAAACACCACCCCACCTCCCCCCAAGCCCTCATCCTTTCTCTAAAGTGCAAGGTTCGGTTCTATCAGCAGATCTTTCCTTTTGTAGAAAGCGGGGGAAAAAGTCCTGCACTTCCCCAGACCTGGACTCTACCTCCCCTGGGCTCCTAATGGGGGTTCAGGCCTGCCCCCGACAGCAAGCGAACCTGGTGTATAAAAGCAGCACACATTTGAGCTGCGCAGACACAGCTGTGACACCCTCCAGCCATCCTGGCTTATGAAGGAGGAGGGGTGGGGTAGAGAAGGGTCTAAGATAGGCAGGGTCCACGGAAGCCCCAGCCCAGCTGTGGCTGTGGAGGCAGGGAGTGCTGGCCAAGCAGGCCGAGAGAGCTGCTCTGGTTTCCTGTGAAATGAGGTCACCACCAGCACCCGGGCTCCCAAGTGCACCAGCAAGGGAGGGCAAGCTTAGGAGATGCTGGGGAGGAGGGTGCTGCTGGGCTCCCAAACACGTGAGTGACCCTTCACAGGCCGAGACAAGGAGACTGCACTCTCAAAACAGGAAGGAATTACAACAGGACCATGGAAACCTCCCTTCCACCCAGTGATCATCTCTGAGGAGGAGGCAGCCAGACACAGTTGCTTTGCTGCCACTGCCTGCCTGCTCTTGATTCTGTCAGTAGCTAAATTTCAAAAGGCAATATAGTAAAAAGTCTCCATCTACCTCAGTCGCACCTTGGCCCTCTCAAGAACCCAGGGGTTTCCCTATGGTACCATCATTTGAATTTTTGACTTTTACACATGTAACCTTTTTTTGTTGTTGTTAAAATAAATTTTGCTAGGCAAAAGGAAAAAAAACAGCTTGTAGGCTCGAAGATGGAAAAAGATTTCTATTCTTACAAGGGGGCTGGTTAGATTTTGGGATAGAGACTGAGAGATCAATCTTATAAATAACTAAGGGGGAGGGTCTTGGGATCGTGCAGGGCCCAGAGGGAAGTATGGTGATCTAGGTGAGGCCATCTCTGCACTTCTGTGACCCTGGGGGAGTCCTCCCCACCCCACCCCCAACCCAGACCTGCTACGCTTCCTTATTTGTTCAAGGAAATGAAAACGGGTCAAGTCAGGATGGTGGCTCCAGTCCCTCGGTCAATCTGTTGAAGCGCGCACACCCTGACATTCCCGCAAGGCTCTGCAAGCCTTCGAGGGATGCGAACTGACTGACTTCGGGTCCTTTCTTCTCTCCATCTGGATGGGGTCCATAGCTGGGTCTACATGCACTACGGGAGCGGGGTGGGGAGCCCCAATGGTTTCCCAAGTTGCAGGGGCCCCAAACTTCAAGACAAGGAAAGAGGGTGAAGGGAGCGTCTGGGAGGAGAATGACCTGAAGCCAGATGTACCTCGAAGGGGACCTTCCACACTATATGGGGCTAAGAGCCTGGTGCTCTGAGCAGTGGCACGCCCCACTCGCTGCGCCCAGCTAAGAGGGACCTGGAGCTTGAGTGGCCGGTGTGCAGCATTAGGTTGCCATGGGAACGGAATTCAGATTTTCCCCAATTGCTTTTTTATTTGCTAGACATTGTAATACATCTTATGTTGCCACTTATTGGGGCGGGAAGGAGAGGAGCTCCAGAGAGCCTGGCTGCCCCTTAACCAGTTGGGGAAGTTGGGGAGGCGCCGGCTGAAGTCTTCGGACCAGGGCCTGCCTAGAGGTTAGGTCTCTCCCGCCCACTAGCCCGCTCTTGGTTTGTATGCAGGGCAGGGCCGGTCGGTCGGGGCGGGAGGCCCCCGCCTAGGCCCCTGGCCATTGAGCACACTCCCCGCCAGTTCTGCTCCGCTTCACGCTGCACACAGACCCCCCAACTGCACACAAAGGCAGCTGCCAGAGCCGGTGAAAAGTGATCAAATTATCAAGAACTTGACCTCACCGAGGGGCGAAGCTCCAGCAACCCCCCAGCCGTATGCTAATGGCGCTCAGGGGCTGACTCGTCGAATAATTCGATAAAGGCCGCATTGTTAGCGGCAGGGCAGCCCCCTGCCCACCCTTTTACTCCCCCACCCCACCACCCCACTGCCTACCGCTGTCCTTCCTCTCTCTCTCTCTCTCTCTCTCTCTCTCTCTCTCTCTCTCTCTCTCTCTCTCTCTCTCTCTCTCTCTCTCTGTTCTCCCCCTTTTTCTCATCGCATTTGCATCCCAAAATCCCCGTCCGCTCCGGGCGCGGATTGTTCTAGCCTGATTTATGGGGTGAAGGCAAAAGCTGGCGCCTTCTCCGCCAGCGACCCCTCTGCAACCCCAGTCTGCTCCCTGCCCCCAGCCCGCTCCACTTTAGGGTTCCAACCTCCGCGCTGGGGAATGGGGATAGGAGACAGGGAACGAGGAGGAGGTGCAGGGAGTGCCTCCAGGACACGGCGGGTAGCCCCGGGAAAGCCGAGGTCGGATACCTGGTCCGGGCGCGGCCGCTCCGTCGAGTTGGAGTCCCTGGGTGGCGTGGACGTCTCTGGGCTCCTCTGGCTCCTGTGGCCAGGGCGGCCGAGCGGGCGATCGCACGCAGAAGTTGTGAGAGTCATTTCTACTTTCGGTTATCTAGCTTTATGACGGCTCTGTGGCACTCATACAGCTAGATAACCAAAGAGAGAAACCGGCCTCCCTTCGCCCGCACCGCTGCCGCGCTGTGGGCCCCACGTGCCGCTGCCGATCCGGCGCGGGGGCCTGAGCGGGCGCCTCTCCCGCAGCCTCCGGCGCACGCGGAGAGCCAGAGGGGACCGACAGACACACAGACACACGGACTCCCGCTACCTGGGTCGCCCAGCTCCCTTCCTCCCCCGCCCTCGCGGCATCTCCATCCCCCTTTCCCAGTCCAGCGCGTCCGCGACCCGCTTCGACGGCAACCCGGGGCACCGGCGCGCTGCGCTTGGGCAGCCTCGGGCGCCCCGGCGGCCCCCAGCGCACTGGACCGTCAGCCCTCCTCTCGCAGGCTAATCGCCCCGCGGGGAAGTGACGTCAATCCTGGAACTGGCCTATCACGGGCTCCCATTCAAATCCCAGCCCCCTTCCCGCGCTCGGCACCACCCAGCCTTACAATGGCCTCGGCGTTCACGGCTTCTGCGCCGCGAGGATAGGGGAGCGCCCCTTCTGCCCTCAAAAGCGTTAGGCCTGCGTCCCTGGATGCACACACTCTGGTCTTTCTCCCCAGCCTGTCTGACCTCCCCCCAAAGTCTTGGGTGCCCGGCAGCCACCGCAGACTACCAGAGTTAGAGTTTGAGGGAAGAAGTCTAAGGTCGTGGTCTCGCCAGGGCAACCAAGTGAGCGCTCGAGAGGCTGCGAAACGATCACTTCATCTTTAATGTCTCTCTTCCTTTCCCCCTGCCCAGCACTGTGCAGACTACGCGGAAGAAACCGGGGATTAAGGGAGGGATGGAGTGTCCTCCTGTGTTTAGCTCAGTAAGTCTATCCCATACATAGCGCCTGGCTTGTAGGGATTCCCGCAGCACACTACATTCAAACCAGGTTCTAGACGTCGATATCAGGCTACTAGGTCCCTTCCTTCTGGTTATTCCTAGCACAGCCAATGATATGCGATCGATTGTGTCCTGGCGCCTTGAAGATATCTAAGGCCGGAATTGGGCTTCTATTCATTTCCCATAGGAGGGGGAAAAAAGCAGCTCTTGCCATCTTTCTGCTCACGGCACACAACTGGCCTCACTCAGTCCAAGTGGCTTCGCAGGGCAAAAAGATGGACACCTTGGGTTTCCCAGGGCCACCATAGAATTGAGCCTGGCCACTAAACTAATGGCCCCATTTCAGCCTCCCAAATGTGAGTGGCTCATAAGCCCTGACTTGAAACCACTCCCTTCCTCCTTGAGCCCGCCTACCCTCCCACTCTGGGCTCTCGGGATGTGAACAATTAAATATGAAAAATTCGATATATTTGTTCCCAGATGTTCCAAGAAAGATCTTAAATCCAAGAGCTAGGGATAGATTCAACAATAGAGTAGGCTAGCCGATTCCAGGATTCCAGCAGTGACTATGCAGGAGTCCTAGAGACTCATCCTAAGGTATTCCCAGGGACCACCACAGGCTTAGGTGGGGTACCCATTCAGATCTGTTTTAGTGGGACTGGGAATCCCTGGCCACTCTCCATTAGCAAATCCTTGCAGGATAGGTTCAAAGAATAGGCCCAAAGTGGGTGATTCGGAAGGGGTTTCAGGATTATTCTAAACATATCTAAAGCATTTTCCCTTAAAACGACACATCAGGATTTTTGTCATGCACTTCTTTACACCACTGTTGGTTTTGGATTTGTCCTATTTTTGTCTTGACCCATAATCCAGGGTGGGCTGTATTCTCACTGTCATTCCTGCCAGCCTGTGACCAAGTCAGCTAGCATTCAAACACCTCTCTCCAAATTCCATCTCACAGACACATCCCTCTCTCCCGAAAAAGGGGCACAGGCCAGGGCCAGATGAGAAACAGAGGGGCGGGAGGGGCAGAGGGACACGGAGAGTGGGAGAGAGAAAGAGAGAGGCCGACCTACCAACCACAAGATTCTGGAAGGAGCCTCGAATTTGGGCCTGTGTGGCTAATTCTAAAGGATTTTCATGATTAGGAGGTGCCCCTTTTGTTTCTCCTCCTACAGATTCTGGAATCGACACCCTTTTCCATTTAGCTGTGTGTCTGTCAGTGTGGGCGGCCTCCTGAGCTCTGGTCCTTCTGGGCCGCCCTGGACTGGGATGGGCAGAACGGGTTGTGGAGGGGCGTGTGTGCAAGCACGATTCACCTGAGAGAGATGGAAGGAAGAAGGAGGGGAGAAGGGAGCAGGAGAAGGAGGAGAGAGAGAAGGGGTATTCTCAGAATGCGATTTCAGCAGGATGCTGCACAAAATGGCTCCTCAGCGAGGCTCACGGTAGCAGCACGCTGGAGCCCTGGCCTGCAAGCCTAGGGCTGTTTAGCGCTCTGGGAGAAAGATTAAAAAGCTTGATTTTACATTCAGTTCAGGTGCAGCGGGTCAAGGCCACCAAAGCCACATTTCTGTTGTTTTTTAGGAAACCAAGTCCAAGTCCCTTGCCAGAACAGGTGAGGCCAGCCAGGCAGAGGATCCCACACCACACTGGAATAAGACCTGTCTTGGAATAGAGCCTCCTTCATTTCCACCGTCCAGTGCCCAGGTGCATGAAGGCATTATAGGCTCAGTCTCAGGTAGGAGACTACAGTAAGAGTGATCCTTGAGCCACCAGCTGCCTGCCATTGGGAGGCTGTTCTGGTGGGACAAGGCAAGGGATAGTCTCCTTTGACTGTCTCCTGGCAGCCACGTCCACAGCAGCCTGGGAAACCTCCAGGTCAGCACCCAGCAGGGAAACAGTGTTTGGAGCTGAGACTACCCAAGGAGGACCCCACTGACCTTGGCCCTGATTGTTTCCTCTTCTGCACTCTGAGCTGGGTCTGAGTTCGATGCGCTTCTCCTACACGAATCCCTTGCCTCTCGCCTACTGTCCCAGCACAGTCCCTACGTCCCAAAAAGCAGGCTCTGGATCTAGAACCTAACGGTCACTGGTGGGCTCTGGCCATGGTGCTGAGGGCTGCCCTCCTGGCTTTTTTTTCTTTTCCCTCTGCGGTTCCACTAGCCCAGAATTTTCTCAGTGAGCTGTGGTTTGAAACCCGAGCTCTAGGGGTGCCTACAGCTACTTAGAGAAACAAACACCCAGGGGGAAGTCCAGCACCTAGACATCTCCACCAAAGGCAGGAGACTCCATCTTTCATCTTCAAAGCTCCATAGAGGGACAAAAGTCCTTAGCTGAATTCCCATATCTGGATCTACGGAAACTACACATTTGCCCTAGAGCCCATTGACTCAGGAAACCTATCCCACACTTTCTCCCACAGCTGGCCTATGAGGTCACTAAGGCTGGTGTGGTTCCTTGTGCAAGCAATCTGTGTGCAAGTGCTCCTGCACCTGCTGGCAAACATCCACTGCATGAACTCCACTTGCCTCCGGCCCGTGTGCAGGACGCAGACAGGCACCTTCCCTTTCAGGACACAATAAGTTAAGGGGTTCAGGGAAGGATGGGGACAATTCGCAGCCTCGCTCACACCCTAGTCCTGTGACCAGACTTGCTCGGAGCCCACGGCTGATGGGACACAGTGGAGGCAGCCACCTGGCCCTGCTCTTCGGTCTGGGGTGAGGACTCCATTTGATCCCCTCTGGGTTGTAATTAGGACACAGAATCTCTAGTCACAACCCAGGCCAAGTCCAGGCACCTCTCCCTGTTGCCGCCTTTCCCTCTCATTGCTTCCTCAGGCTCAGGCTTTGATGAAGCTGATCTTCCTATTGTCTGGAGGCTGGAAGGGCTGTTCACTGGGAGACCCAGCTTTGGGTTACCTCAGATGGAGCCAGCTCCTTGTACCCAGCGGGTACAGAGGCCTCCACGCCTGCCCTCAAACACACATGGCCAGGTGGGTTCTAGTTCCTTCTCTTGCTTTCAGCCCAGCCTACTTCCTTAGCAGCTGAGGTATAGGCAGGCAGGGTGTGGGTTTTTCTCAACAGGGACCTCAAAGCACCCACTGCAAAAGGCCAAGCCTTTCCTTGGGACCTCTAGCAGTCGGTGTGGCTGCTGCAGACGACTGAGCTGCACCCCAGCTCCGTGTCCACTTAGTCTGCCTCTGACCTCCCTTGGTAGAAAGCCAGACCACCAAACCCCATCTCTTCCCACCCCCCACCCCGCCGCCGCCATGCCTTAAGAATCTATCACCTCCCGAGTATGAAGACCCAGAGAGGGTCTCCTCTTCAGGCTCAGCACCCCACCCCACCCCTGGCCCGCCACAATGGCTCAGAGCTTCTATTTATTTTTTATTTTTGGATGTTTTTACTGCTCCAGAGACCTGGCCTGCAGCCTCTCCTCGCTAGAGTCGGCTACCTCCTTGCTCTGCTGGGGCCGACCTATGCCAACCCACCAACCAAGCTGCTCCCAGAGAAGCCCTTCACAGCCTCAGCCTCCACGCTTCCCTCGTTCTTCTCAGCTCTAAGCAGGCTAGACTGGAGGAGGCTTCAGAGATACCCGTAGACAGAACTAAAGGCCTGTCCGAAAGCACAGAGTGGGGTGCTGAGCAGAAAGGCTTTCTCAACTTCTCATTCCAGAAGGGAAAAGGGACGTCATAAATCTTGTTTAGAGTGGGTGCTGTGTGCTGAATTTTCTCAAGGTATACATTTTTTCCCAGGAAGTCACTTTGCAGGTTATTTATGTGTGTTGGTGGGGGCTGAAAGATAGGAAGGAAGAGGGGAGTCACGGGTAGGAGTTAGGGAGGGGACTCCCTGGAACCTCTTTCAGAAACATTTTCTTCCTCTCAAACCGTTCTACCTTCCCACAACTTCCATCACACCCTCGCCCTGTCCCTTTCTGAACACTGTGGGCGCGTCTCACTGTCCCAAGACCCTTGACCTTGGTCTTGCCGATTTTCAAGAGATGCCTGAGCTCTGACCCACAATCAGAGCGCAACCCCCATCCCTCTTGTAGTCAAGGAAAGCCCCGAGCCCTCTGAGATACCCAAGAGGGACTCACAAGGATACCCCAGGCCCCTTACCCAGTCCAGCCGGCTCCCTGACGTTGTCCTAGCGGAGATTGCCGCCTGGCACCCTAGCCCCTCTTTCCTGGCCTGGCCGAGACGCAAAAGGCAGTGGAACTTACGGACCCGGGAGGGGGCCGGGGCCCCAGGAAGCAACGGCGGGGGTGGGGCGGCTGTGGTGACGGTGGTTCGGTCGCCGAGGATCAG